AGTGGTAAAAAAGTTATCAGAGTATTTGGTAAGTGACGCGCTGGTGTGGACAATCCATTTTATAAACCACGTCTGTTCCTGCCGCAGATAATGATGGAAGAAGAGTCGTGCTTCTTGTCGAGAGATGGCGATAACAAGATGAAGTTGCAAAAAATATTTGAGACTGTAATAAAGGATTTGAATGAAAAGAAAGTAACTACAATTGTTGGTTAGTATGTGCAATACATACAATATGGGGGTGTTGAATGNAGTAACACATAAACCCGACCCACCTGTTGTAAAAGATCACATGGTGCCTTTGCTATTAGTGGACTTTAAAAATACACCTCTAGATAAATGGGATTTAACTACGCAACAGGTAACTTATATGTAATATAAAATTATTAATACCTATTTATGAACTTCTATTGTGCTTTAGATCTTCCCATACATTAATGGGATAAATCACATTGCACGAATAGCGGCCGAAGCAGATGTAGAAACTAATTTGGTAAAATCCTGCATACAAAATTTGGCTTATTATGGTGTTGTACATCTACTGCCCATACTCAAGTATAGCAACGTCTATATGTGCACGCAACATTTGAAGAGTTTAATTAAAATTCCCTCATTGAGTCATGCCTGCCGCAAATATGTTGCACTAAATCCTGATAAGTCACATCCATCAATACAGAAAATCTTTCAATTTTATGCTTCAATGACGCACGGTGTTACACTTCGTGCAATATGTCAACGCTTATGTCCACAAAATTACAACATCGATGAAAGAAAACTAGTCATATTTGGTTTGCAACATAAATTCATACGCTGCATTCACAAATATCCTGTGTTTACGGGTTCTGTGCCGTCAGGGCGTCAAAAAATGTATACAGGACTTTCGAGTTTTGATGAGATTTGCTGTAAAACAGGCCTATCGCCATTTAATATTGAGAAGGACATCGATAAGGATACTAACGTGACGGTAATATGGAAATAAGGTAGCACTTTGACGTTTTTGGTTAAAACTTAGTCCGTTTAATTAACTCCTTACTGGAGAATACGCGTTAATTCTACAATGTGCATTAATTTTTTATTTAGAATTAAGACTATAAATACGTTGCGACATATTTTAAACGTTAAAGATATTTTTAAATATTTCAAACAAAAAAATGAGAATCAGTTAAATGGTAAGTTTTCTCTTCATTTTAATTATGAATTCACTAATTTTAATCACTTAACTAGTGTTTTGAAATTGCTGTTATATCTACGATTTTATAAAAATAGAAAAAAATCTATCGAGAAATCTTCTGGATTTAGATTTTGCGATTTTAAGAGTAATATTTTAAAGGAACAAGTTTTAGATTAGTGGGAAACGTGCCTATTTGCTTGCTTGAACGCCATAACTGAAAAAATCACAAATTTCAGAAAATCTACTACGAAATATTTAGTTAGGGTTTTCCAAAAAAGTGAAATTGATTCTTTATATGCGAATTATTGCGAAGTTCTGAAAGCTATATTTTCCACCACGGTTGGAAAAATTTATTTAGCTTTGAACTCACAGGAATAGCAAAATCATTCAGAGCTATCACAGAATCCATCGTTGCTTCGATTTTCGTGAAATTTACGAAAATGCTATCCCAGAATCCGAATGGCTACGAACGAAAATTCGACATTCGTAGAGAGCCTTCAGTGAATCCGTTCGTAATGAAGATTCGTACAGATACTTATGCGGTCGGAGCAAAATTTAAAATCACTGAATCTTAAAAATAATGGAAAAAGCTGCATTATTGTTAATAATAAATATTCATTATACTCCAATATTAAACGTAGACGTAAAATACCAATGCAATACATACATACATACGTACATACATACATTCATCTGATAGACGCTATTTAATTAAAGAATTTTTTTTATGAAGCGAGGAAATAATCAGGGCTATCAGGGAATCCATCGTAGAAAATCTACGAATTCGAATGCCTGCTACGAATACGAAAAAATTACTATCACTGAATCCCAGTGAACTCGAAAATATCGTTGCCAGCTTCGAATGCTGATTTGAAATCTGCTAGTACAAAGGAAGCAATAGACATTTATGTATGCCATTTTAGTATCTAAGTTATGAATACAGTGGGGTGACTGTTAGGAAAAATAAAAATTAAGGGTATTCATCAAACCTTATAAATGCATTGTAAACCGTATAAA